CTCTCTCTTACCTTTTCCCTCTCTCACTTTCTCCCCCCTTTTCCCTTCTTTTCCCCTCCTTCTAGGCTCCCCTTCTCTCTCTCCCTATCTCTCACTCTCTCCCCCTTTTTCTTTTTCTCTTTCTCTCTTTCATAAAAAAAAAAATGGTTGGGACTCGCAGGAATCAGGGATCAGATGACAATGGTACTGGTAGGGAGGAATGGATGGAGGAACAGTGGAAAAGGATAGAGCAAGAATGGGAGAGAAAATTAGGAGAGCTTTCTGAAAAAATGGAGAAAGAGCTCTCTGTGAAATGGGAAAAGAGGTTGGAGAAGGAGACGAAGAATTGGGAGTCACAAGTCGAAACTGCAGTAGCCAGGGTAAAGGTCCTAGAATTTGAGGTAAACAGGCTGAAGCAAGTCTCAGGGGTAGTGACCAGAGAAGACACACCATACGATGATGAGAGGCTGAACAGGAAGGAAGGAGATATGAAATTATGCTAAGGTCATATCAGCCTGCAAAGAAGGGCCAGGGAGTGGAAGGGAAGAGCAGATGGGTGCAGATGGAGAGGGAGATAGGTCGAATGCTGAGGCACAACCATGCTACCAAGAGCCATGGAAAAATCAAGGGAGAAAATGACCACATACAGACAGGAACCAGAGTCACAGAGGAAGAGGCAATGGGAGGAGGAAAGGGCAAAATCAGTGATTATCCATGGGCTTCGGGAGAGAGAGGAAAGGACACACACTGAAACGGCAGGAAGAAAGAAAGGAGATTGAGAAAATCATCACAGAAATAGGGGGAGAAGACATGGATGAGATTGTAAATTTTCAGAGAATAGGGGGGTACTTGAAGGGGAAGAAACCGACCAATCAAGCTGATTCTCAGGACAGAAACAGTGCGGAACAGGATACTCCAAGAGAAACCACGGTTGAAAAGTTCAGAAGAATACAAGAAGGTGTTCCTAGACAGAGACAGAACACAAACAGAGAGAAAGCTGAGGGAGAGGACAAAAAAGCGAAAGGAGCTAGGAAAGGAGACAAGGATGGAACCAGAGGTCAGTCAGAACAGAACAGAGCAGCAAGGGCAAGCACACACACAACTATCCTCAGAACCCCACAACCTATCATACCATCCCAACACACAATACAATCCATACCCACAGCTTCCACCCAACCCCCAACTATAGAATCCCACAGTAAGCTACCAGGTCTCCCACCCCCACAGGCCTCCCAAACCACAGTGTTAGAAAGGAAACTGAAGGTATGGTACACAAACGCTGATGGAATAACAAACAAGTGGGAGGAGTGGCACGAAAGAGTCAAAGAGGCATCACCAGACATCATAGCGATCACAGAAACCAAGCTTACAGGTATGATAACAGATGCCATCTTTCCAGCGGGATACCAGATCCTGAGAAAAGACAGAAGGAACAGGGGGGGGTGGAGGAGTGGCATTGCTGATCAAACACCGATGGAATTTTGATGAGCTGGAGAGAGGAGACAGCGGAGAAGAAAGTGATTACATAGCGGGAACGCTTCACTCTGGAGGTCCCAAGGTGATAATTGCAGTGATGTATAACCCACCACAGAACAGCAGGAGGCCAAGGCAAGAGTATGACGAGAGCAATAGAGAGATGGTTGACACACTGGCTGCAGTGGCGAGAAGAGCTCATGCATGCAGGGCAAAGCTCCTGATCATGGGCGACTTTAACCACAAGGATGATCGAATGGGAGAACTTGGAGCCACATGGGGGCCAAGATACATGGAGGGCTAAGATGAATGGAGGTGGTACTGGAAAACTTCATGTACCAACACGTAAGGGACACTACAAGAGAGAGAGGAGAGGACGAACCAGCAAGACTGGACTTAGTATTCACCTTGAGTAGTGCAGATATTGAGGACATCACATATGAAAGACCCCTTGGGGCCAGCGATCATGTGGTTTTTGAGCTTCGAATACACAGTAGAGCTACAAGGGAGGGGGAAGCAGGAAGGCAAGGACAAATGAAACCAAACTACAGGAAAGGGGACTACACAGGAATGAGGAACTTCCTGAATGAGGTACAGTGGGACAGAGGACTGGCAGGGAAGCCAGTTAATGAGATGATGGAATATGTAGCAACAATGTGCAAGGAGGCTGAGGAGAGGTTTGTACCCAAGGGTAACAGGAATAATGAAAAAGCCAGGATGAGCCCATGGTTCACCCAAAGATGCAAGGAGGCAAAAACCAAGTGTGCTAGGGAATGGAAGAAATATAGAAGGCAAAGGACCCAGGAGAATAAGGAGAGCAGTCGTAGAGCCAGAAACGAATATGCACAGATAAGAAGGGAGGCCCAACGTCAATATGAAAAAGACATAGCAGCAAAAGCCAAATCTGACCCGAAGCTGTTATACAGCCACATCAGGAAGAAACAACCGTTAAGGACCAGGTAATCAGGCTAAGGAAGGAAGGAGGAGAGACAACAAGAAATGACGTGAAGTATGTGAGGAACTCAACAAGAGATTCAAAGAAGTGTTCACAGAGGAGACAGAAGGGCTCCAGAAAGACGGAGAGGTGGGGTACACCACCATGTGCTGGACACAGTACACACAACCGAGGAAGAAGTGAAGAGGCTTCTGAGTGAGCTAGATACCTCAAAGGCAATGGGGCCAGATAACATCTCTCCATGGGTCCTGAGAGAGGGAGCAGAGGCGCTATGTGTACCCCTAACAACAATATTCAATACATCTATCGAAACAGGGAGATTGCATGAGGCATGGAAGACAGCAAATGTGGTCCCAATCTTTAAAAAAGGAGACAGACATGAATCACTAAACTACAGACCAGTGTCACTGACATGTATAGCATGCAAAATCATGGAAAAGATTGTCAGGACAAGAATGGTGGAACATCTAGAAAGGAATGATCTCATCACCAGCAGCCAACATGGTTTCAGAGATGGGAAATCCTGTGTCACAAACCTACTGGAGTTCTATGACATGGTGACAGCAGTAAGACAAGAGAGAGAGGGTTGGGTGGATTGCATTTTCTTGGACTGCAAGAAGGCTTTTGACACAGTACCACACAAGAGATTAGTGCAAAAACTGGAGGACCAAGCAGGGATAACAGGGAAGGCACTGCAATGGATCAGGGAATACTTGTCAGGAAGACAGCAGCGAGTAATGGTACGTGGCGAGGTGTCAGAGTGGGCACACCTGTGACCAGCGGGGTCCCACAGGGTCAGTCCTAGGACCAGTGCTGTTTCTGGTATTTGTGAACGACATGACGGAAGGAATAAACTCCGAGGTGTCCCTGTTTGCAGATGACGTGAAGTTGATGAGAAGAGTTCATTCGGTCGAAGACCAGGCAGAACTACAAAGGGATCTGGACAGCTGCAGAACTGGTCCAGCAACTGGCTCCTGGAGTTCAATCCCACCAAGTGCAAAGTCATGAGGATTGGGGAAGGACAAAGAAGACCGCAGACGGAGTACAGTCTAAGGGGCCAGAGACTACAAACATCACTCAAGGAAAAAGATCTTGGGGTGAGTATAACACCAGGCACATCTCCTGAAGCGCACATCAACCAAATAACTGCCGCAGCATATGGGCGCCTGGCAAACCTCAGAACAGCATTCCGACATCTTAATAAGGAGTCGTTCAGGACCCTGTACACCGTGTACGTTAGGCCCATGTTAGAGTATGCGGCACCAGTTTGGAATCCACATCTAGCCAAGCATGTAAAGAAACAAGAGAAAGTGCAAAGGTTTGCAACAAGACTAGTCCCAGGGTTAAGAGGTATGTCCTATGAGGAGAGGTTAAGGGAAATCAACCTGACGACACTGGAGGACAGGAGAGATAGGGGGGACATGATAACGACTTACAAAATACTGAGAGGAATTGACAAGGTGGACAAAGACAGGATGTTCCAGAGACTGGACACAGCAACACCGGGACACAGTTGGAAGCTGAAGACACAGATGAATCAAAGGGATGTTAGGAAGTATTTCTTCACCCACAGAGTAGTCAGGAAGTGGAATATTTTGGGGGAAAGCGATGTAGTGGAGGCAGGATCCATACATAGCTTTAAGCAGAGTTACGATAAAGCTCATGGTTCGGGGAAAAGTGACCTAGTAGCGACCAGTGAAGAGGCGGGGCCAGGAGCTTGGACTCGACCCCTGCAACCTCAACTAGGTGAGTACAACTAGGTAGTCACACCCAGACACACCACAAAACACACAACACACACACACACACACCACACACACACGCACACACACACACACACACTCACACACGCACAAAACACACGCACACACACTCGCACACACACACACACACACACATACACACACACACACACGGACACACACACACACACACACACACACACACACACACACACACACACACACACAACCGCACACACACTCGCACCCCACACACCCCAAACCCCACACATACACACACACACACCCACACACTCACACACACACACACACACCCCACACACACACACACGCACACACACTCGCACACACACACACACACACATACACACACACACACGCACACCTCACACCACACACACACACACACAACACACCCACACACACACACACACACACACACACACACACGTACTCATATACAACAGGTCTAGTGTCTAATCGACATGTGCCTAGGACAAAATGGTAACACACGGCTTGGCTTTTTCCCTTGTAGAATACAGAAACGTGCAAGAGGAGGTTCAGGTCCAATACTGTGAGCAATTAGCCACAGGTAAATTTGCACCAACCTATCAGTTGTGGGTGAACAGTAGCTAATAAATAAAAACTGAAAAGCGGATTAACTTCTCTTTTTTCAAGGGTCAACCTTGAAGCTGCTGAAGGAATCTTAATTCAGAGAACTGGAGGTACTCTTTCCTGACTCGAATATATATTACCCCCTTCAGCTTGTATTCCCTAGGCGTTATACGACCCATACTTGTTTAGCACTTCCTATGAAAATAATTTTATTAAGAAATATTTATAACACTTACTCCTCTGGCATAGTTGATGGAGTGACAGCTGAGCCAAGACTGAAGTAGATAAAGCCAGCATCACCAGCACCTTGTACCCAGTCTTCAAGGTCCTTCAAGTAAAGATTGTTTATATGAAATATGTATCATATATTATATCCTATATCATGACACAGCGCTGAGTGAATACAATCAAACTCGTTTTGAATCCTGAGAAGTTTAATACGTGTCATGTGGCGCAGCTGTAAGCTCGGTTAATTGTGCTCTGTTTGAAGGTGGCTTATTGTTGTATGTTTGTTCCTGAACACGCAAAATAATTATCACCTACATGTAAAGAGAACTAAATTCTCCAGGAAACTTGTGAGGCTTGACAATTAATATTAATAAAGCTAGAATTACTGATACAATGTTAGGTAAGAGGAGGCAATTGCAACTAATGTCACATTTTTAAGTGGCAACCATTCGCTTGTGGAACCACATCAGCTGAATCAATAACAATAATGTGATGATCAGTCATGAAAGCATTGAAAATAAGTGGGAGTTGACCTTGGAGGACCAAGGAAGCGAACTGAAACTGTGTTGGAGGTAACTTACTTGTGAGAGAGGCTGTGAGGGACGCAGATGAATACCTCCACAATGTATCACGGCAGGAACATAAGGACGAGCTGGATAATCGATGGTTTGTACACTGTAAAAATTCAACTCAATCTTACATTCGTTAGCCTTTCACATACATCAAATCATTTTCGTTTTCTCTAGCATATCTTGCCAACCGGCACGCTAAAGAAACAGAGAATGTTGGGCAAGTCTCACAACGTTTCGCTCAGTGTCGAGCGTTATAATGTCATGATAAAAGCAGCAATAACTAAAACTTTTTCAGAATAAATGCAAGCTGTAACGAACCCATTTATCAGTACAAGACTTGCATTTGAACTTATTTCCCAGAAGCTGGGCATGTTATCTGGACAAAGGCCACGACGACGACATTCAGCTTCCATTCTGTGGAAAATAATGAAATTAAAGCCATTAATAGCCTTACCCTAAATTATTTCTTCACTGGTGGGTAACATAAAATAAAAATGCGGATATTTTTTAAACAAGGTGTTTCTTTTTTTATTCACCAAAACTGGGGCCTGGTCCAGACCGGGCCGCGGGCTTGACCCCGAAAATCTCTCCAGTAAACTCCAGGTAACATCGAGGTTTGGTATCCTACTTTTCATGAGCAATGTGGTGTTGTGCAAGTCTACGTAATGCTATGTATAAGTGAATTAACACTTTTTTAAGTGTGTGTGTGTGGGGGGGGGGAGGGTGAGGGAGGGATGGAGTGAGATAGAAATTTTCTCCTGATGTGGACTGGTTTAAATAATGACTCGGTCAGGAGAACTTCTGGTCATTTTGGTCCAGAGTTTCGTCAAGGAATGAATCCCATGTTATTGGAAGTTTTACTGTCCAGATTAAATTATTTACTGGTATTTGTTTACCCAACCTGTACCGAAATGTCATGTGTTTCACGATAAAATTTTTAAGTGGACAGCTACTCTCTCTCTCTCTGGGGGGCGGAAAATGGTACTTAATGGAGCTTAACATTCAGGTAGCTATTTACTGCTAGGTGGAAGACAGCAGCAGGTGAAAGGGACGCAGACACCCAGTTACATAATTTACTGCTAGATGAAAAAAAAAAACAAAGTTACTATTTATTGCTAGATGAAAGGTCAAGAAGCTTAAGAAAATTCTACTACACGTTTGATTCATGACTGAAAAATCTAGAAAAAAAAAAAACCAATAATCAAATACCTTGGTGAAAAAAAGTAAAAAGAAAAAGTCCCTAGCAACATGAGTTTAAAGTGCGAAGTTCTCTGGCATGAAGGTCATAGGGTGTTGGAAGCCTAATACAGCCGAGGCATCAAAGGAGGGAAGCGTGGGTTACCGATTATTAATGGTAGTTTTACCATCAACCCTCCTGGGCCACATATATGAGTGGAACCTGGGAAAATAATATAATGAATGATTGATGATGATGGGTGATGATGATGATGATGAGATGATGTGATGGATGATAAAAATAATAATAATAATAATAATAATAATAATAATAATAATAATAATAAAATAATAATAATAAATTTTTAGTGTTCAGCAGAAGTGTGTGGTTCCAGGAAAATGGTGCGGGATGGAAGAAAATGTTGGAATGGCGAGGTAAAAAAGAATAGAGAAAAAGTTGGTATATGAACGATTTTTACAAAGTAGAAGTGATATAAGGAAGGAGGAGTCTATGGAGAGAAAAGAGAGGTAAGAAAGTGATGAAGGAAGGTAAAAGGAGAGCAAATGAGAGAGTGGGTGAGATGTTTTCAACAAATTTTTTGTGGAATAAGAAAAAGTTTTTGGAGTGAGATTAATAAGCTGAGAAAGCCTAAGGAACGAATGGATTTGACAGTTAATATTAGGAAAGAAGATCTTTTATATAGAAAGCTGAAGGTATCGGGAAGATTGAGGGAATATTTTGAGAACTGTTAAATATTGATGAAGATAGGGAAGCTCTGATTTCAGGCACTGGGCAGGAGGGTATAACATCTTGTAGGAGTGAGGAAGAGCCAGTTGTGAGTGTGGGGAAGGTGGGTGAGGCTGTTGGTAGAATGAAAGAGAGTAAAGCAGCTGGGGCTGATGGGATCAGGACAGATATGTTAAAAGCAAGTGGGATATAGTATTGGAATTGTTGGCACTTTTATTTAATAAATGCTCGAAATAAGGAAAGGTACCTAGAAAATGTATAGTTATTTTGTACAAAGGCAAAGGGGACAAAAAAAATAGAGTGTAAAAAATATAAAGAATAAGCCTGCTGAGTATAACCTGGTAAGGTGTATGGTAGAAATATTATTAGAAAAGCATTAAGATCAAGATGGAAGAGTATAGGATGTAGATGAACAATGGAGGTAGGAGGGTGTGCAGGTGAACAGTATTCAGATTAGAGTAGTAAAGAGGTTTCGTTGCACTTATGGTTTGCAAAAGGTAAATGATGGGGTGTAGATGGAAGCAATGTGGCAGACGTTGCAAGTGTATGGAATAGCCGGTAGGCTTCTGAAAGCAGGTAAGAGTTTATACGGTGACAGTGACATGCAAGTTAGAATATATAGGAGAGAGGGAGATTATTTCCCAGTAAAAATAGGTCATAGACAAGAATATGTGATGTCATCATTATTGTTCATTATATTTATACACGGAGTTGTGAGAGAAGCGAAAGCTATGGTATTAGAAAGAGGTATGGGATTAAGAGATAAAGAATCTAACACAAGGTGGGAGTTGTCACAGTTGCTCTTTCCTGATGATACTGGACTTTACGGAGATTCTGATGAGTAGTTGCAGAAGTTGGTGGACTAGATTCGTAGGTTTTGTATAAGAAGAAAATGAAGTGTGAACATAGGAAAGACAAGGTGACGACAATAACAAAAAATCTAGTAAAGAAAGATTGGAGATCAGATTGGAGGGGGGTAAAGAGGAAGTGAGTGTATATGGGAGTAGACTTGGCAGAAGATGGGTCTATGAGAGACGAGGTTAATCATAGGATTGATGAAAGGGAAAAGGTGAGTGGTGCACTGAGGAGTCTGTGGAGACAGAATGTTGTCCATGTAAGCAAGAGGGAACTGTATGAGAGTAATAATGGTACTCAGGCACTAGATATGGGTGTGAGCATGGGTTGTGAATGTTGCAACAAGGAGAAGGCTGGAGGCAGTGGGTGTCTGTCAGAGGCCAATGTGTGGTGTGAATATTATGCAGAGAATCCGTAGCATGGAGATAGAAGGAGGAGCAGGTTTTTCTAAAAATATTATCTAGAGGGCTGAGGAGGTGTGTGTTTGAGGTGGTTCTGACGTTTACGAAGGTGTGGAACCAAATTGAGTGACTTGGAGGGCGTATAAATCTGTGGAGGAAGGCTGAGTAGGGGTCGTCCTAGGAAAGGATGGAGAGAGGGGTTAATGGAGGTTTAGAGTGCGAGGAACTTAGTCTTCCAACAAACGTGTCCTACTGTGTTACGTAGAGACAATTTGGTTTTATGACCTGACCTGCTGTTGGAATGCCACCAATATAACAATTATGAAGGGGCTTTACTAACTGCAAATAAAGCATTACCAAGTGTGTGTGAGTGTGAGTGTGACTGTGTGTGTGTGTATGTGTCTTTGTGTGTGTGTGTCTACCTGGAGTTTTCCTGGAGGTTATTCCGGGGATCAACGCCCCCGCGGCCCGGTCCACGACCAGGCCTCCAGGTGGATCAGGACCTGATCAACCAGGTTGTTACTGCTTGGCTGCACGCAGTCAAACGTGCGAACCACAGCCCGGCTGATCCGGCACTGACTTTAGGTATCTGCCCAGCTCTCTCTTGAAGGCAGCCAGGGGTTTATTGGTAATTCCCCTTATGCTTGGTGGGAGGCTGTAGAACAGTCTTGGCCCCGGACACTGGTGTTTTCTCTTAGTGTACCAATGGCGCCCCTACTTTTAATTGTGTGTGTGTGTGAGTGTGTTGTGTGTGTGTGTGTGTGTGTGGTGTGTGTGTGTTGTGTGTGTGTGTGTGTGTGTGTGTGTGTGTGTGTTGGTGTTGTGTGTGTGGGTGTTGTGTGCGTGTGTGTACTCACCTAGTTGTGGTTGCAGGGGTCGATTCACAGCTCCTGGCCCCGCCTCATCACCATGGCTGCTACTAGGTCACTCATCCTGCTCCATGAGCTTATCATACCTCTTCCTAAAGCTATGTATGGATCCTGTCTCCACTACTCCACTTCAAAGACTATTCCATTTCCTGACAACTCTGTGACTGAAGAAATACTTCCTAACATCCCTGTGATTCATCTGAGTCTTCAGCATCCAACTGTGACCCCTTGTTGCTGTGTCCCATCTCTGGAGCATCCTGTCTTTGTCCACCTTGTCAATTCCTCTCAGTATTTTATGTCATATATGTCATATATATTGTGGCTGCAGGGGTCGAGACTCAGCTCCTGGCCCCGCCTCCTCACTGACCGCTACTAGGTCCTCCCTCTCCCTGCTCCATGAGCTTTATCATACCTCGTCTTAAAACTATGTATAATTCCTGCCTCCACTACATCGCTTGCCAGACTATTCCACTTCCTAACTACTCTATGACTGAAGAAATATTTCCTAACATCCCTTTGACTCATCTGAGTCTTCAGCTTCCAATTATGACCCCTTGTTTCTGTGTCCCATCTCTGGAACATCCTGTCTCTGTCCACCTTGTCTATTCTACGCAGTATTTTGTATGTCGTTATCATGTCTCCCCTGACCCTCCTGTCCTCCAGTGTCGTGAGACCGATTTCCCTTAACCTTTCTTCACAGGACATTCCCCTTAGCTCTGGAACTAACCTTGTTGAAAACCTTTGCACGTTCTTTAATTTCTTGACGTGCTTGACCAGGTGTGGGTTCCAAACTGGTGCTGCGTACTCTAGTATGGGCCTGACGTACACAGTGTATAAAGTCTTGAACGATTCCTTACTGAGGTACCGGAACGCTATTCTCAGGTTTGCCAAGCGCCCATATGCCGCAGCAGTTATCTGGTTAATGTGTACTTCTGGCGATGTACTCGGTATTATACTCATTCCTAGGTCTTTCTCCTTGAGTGAGGTTTGCAGCCTTTGGCTTTCTAGCCTATACTCTGTCTGCGGTCTTCTTTACCCTCCTCCGATCTTCATGACTTTGCATTTGGCAGGGTTAAATTCTAGGAGCCAGTTTCTGGACCACGCATCCAGCCTGTCCAGGTCTCTTTGTAGACTTGTCTGGTCCGCGTCTGATTAAATTCTCCTCATCAACTTCACATCATCTGCAAACAGGGACACTTCTGAGTCTATCCTTCCGTCATGTCGTTCACATTTTCCAAGAATGGGACTGGGCCCAGGACTGACCCCTGTGGGATCCCGCTCGTCACCGGCGCCCACTGTGATACCTCATCACGGACCATGACTCCCCTGTTGCCTCCCTGTTAGGTATTTTCCCGATCCATTGCA